GGTATCAAGGTTATTGAAGCCTCATAAAAAGAGTTTGGCAATGACCCTTCTGCTTCTATTGTGTGGAATACTTTGAGGAGAATTAGTATTAGCTGTCCCTTGAATTTCTGGTAGAATTCTGCACTGAAGCCATCTGGCCCTGGACTTTTTTTGGTTGGGAGACTTCTGATGACTGCTTCAATTTCATTAGGGGTTATAGGTCTATTTAAGTTGCTTATCTGTTCTTGATTTAATTTTGGTAAGTGAAATCTGTCCAGAAAATTGTCCATTTCCTTTATATTTTCAAATTTGGGGGAATATAGGTTTTCGAAGTATGGCCTGATGATTCTCTGGATTTCCTCTGTGTCTGTTGTTATGTCCCCCTTTTCATTCCTGATTTTATTAATTTGCATGTTCACTCTCTGCCACAGGGTTTCTCTGTGTAGCTTTGGAGCCTATCCTGGCACTTGCTCTGGAGACCAGGCTGGCCTCGAACTCACAGAGATCCACCTGCCTCTTCCTCCCAAGTGCTGGGATTAAAGGCGTGCGCCACCAACACCCGGCTATGTCCCCCTTTTCATTCTTAATTTTATTAATTTACATGTTCACTCTCTGCTGTTTGGTAAGTTTGGATGAAGGTTTCTCTCTCTTGTTGATTTTCTCAAAGAACCAACTCTTCATTATTTTGATTCTTTGTATTGTTCTCCTAGTTTCCATTTTATTGATTTCAGCCCTCAATTTGATTATTTCCTGGCGTCTGCTCCTCTGGAATGTAGTGGCTTCTTTGTTTTCTAAAGCTTTCAGTTGTGCTGTTAATTCTCTAGTGTGATTATTCTCCTGTTTCTTCATGTGGGCACTTAGAGCTATGAACTTTCCTCTTAGCACTTATTTCAAAGTGTCCCATAGGTTTGGGTATGTTGCATCCACATTCTCATTGAATTTTAGGGAATCTTTAATTTCTTTTTTTTTATTTCTTCCTCGACCCAGGAATTGTGTAATTGGGTGTTAATTAATTTCCAAGAGTTTGTAGGTTTTCTATAATTCCTGTTGTTGTTGAATTCTAAGTTTAAAGCATGGTGGTCTGATAAGATACAGGGGGTTTTCTCATTTTTTTTGTACCTGTTGAGGTTTGCTATGTTGCCAAGTATGTGGTCGATTTTAGAGAAGGTTCCATGTGGCCCTGAGAAGAAGATAAATTGTTTTGTATTTGGATGGAATGTTCTACAGATATCTGTTAAGTCCAATTGCGCCATAACTTCTATTAGATCCTGTGTTTCTTTGTTACGTTTCTGTCTGGTGTTCCTGTCCAGTTGTGAGAGTGGGGTGTTGAAGTCTCCCACTATAATTGTGTGCGGGTTTATTTGTGATTTGAGTTTTAGTAATGTTTCTTTTACAAACGTGGATGCCTTTGTATTTGAGGCATAAATGTTCAGAATTGAGATTCCATTCTGATGTATTTCTCCTGTGATGAGTAGGAAGTGACCTCCTTCATCTCTTTTGATTGATTTTAGTTTAAAGTCCAATTTGTTGGATATTAGGATTGCTATCCCCACTTGTTTCTTGGGTCCATTTGAATGGAAAATATTTCCCCAACCTTTAATTCTTAGGTACCCTTTGTCTTTGAAGTTGAGGTGTATTTGTTGTATGCAGAAGAAGGATGGATTCTGTCTTCTTATCCATTCTGCTAATCTGTGTCTTTTTCTAGGCAAGTTAAGACAATTAATGTTGATGGATATTAATGACCATTGATTCTTCATTCTTGTTTGTTTTTTATTTGGTGATGGTGGCGAAATTATGTGTGGGATTCTATCCCCTTTTCCTTTAGGCTGTTGGTAAAGTGGGATTATCTATTGCCTATATTTTTCTGGTTGTAGTTAACTTCCTTGGGTTGCAGATTCTCTTCCAGAACTTTCTGTAGGACTGGATTGGTGGATATGTATTGTTTGAATCTGGTTTTGTCATGGAATATCTTGTTTTCACCATCTATATTGATTGAAAACTTTGCTGAGTATAGTAGCGTGGGTTGGCATCCATGGTCTCTTAGTGTAGGTAGAATATCTATCCAGGACATTCTGGCTTTCAGAGTTTCCATGGAAAAGTCAGGTGTAATTCTGATAGGTTTGTCTTTATAAGTTACTTGACCTTTTTCCTTTGCTGCTCTTAATATTTTCTCTTTGTTCTGTATGTTTTGTGTTTTGATTATTATGTGGTGAGGAGACCTTTTTTTGGTTCAGTTTATTTGGTGTTCTGTAGTCTTCTTGTATTTTCATTGGCATGTCTTTCTTTAAGTTGGGAAAGTTTTCTTCTATGATTTTGTTGAATATGTTTTCTGTGCCTTTGAGTTGGATTTCTTCACCCTCTTTTATACCTATTATCCTTAGGTTTGTTCTTTTCATAGTATCCCATATTTCCTGGATATTTT